CCCCAAAACCCCAAAACCCCAAAACCCCAAAACCCCGTGACTTAAGATCAGAATCTTTGTGGAATATTCAGAAATGAAATCGCATTTTCTTATTAATATGGGTGATGTAATCCAAGCGTAATACTAAAATTAAAATTGAGTATAAATCGAATTGTTAATTTATGGTAATAAATTGTTAATAATGAATCAATCACAAAGCTTCTAGAATCCAAACTGTTTTCATCTATATATCATTTTGGAGTAGAAGCATATTTGTGTCGTAGTTTAAATATTGTCAATGGTGTTCTAAGTCTTATTTAGAGTCTTGCTTTTTTATAAAGTTAACCTCAATAATGTCTGTTTTGCACAAAGGGCATCTGAATTCCTTCAGATGAGTCCTTAACCAATTCTTAATGCATTTATCGTGGAAAATGTGACCACACCTTTTTATTTTCCTGATTTCATTGTGCTCGGTAGTAAAGTCTTCTAAGCAGATTACGCAGGCAGTTTCACCGAACTGCGCAATTTCTGCTGTGTAGGGTGTTTTAATAGTTGTACTTTATATTAAGTTTTTGAGTTCCTCAGCTGATATTGTGTTTTTAGGGCCTTAGTTCTGCTATTGAGGTACACTGACAACTCCCGAACCACCATGGACTAGATTTAAAAACTGGTATAATTCTAGAGGACGGCCGGAGTGGTTATAGTGAAGGTTTCTGGCCTCGGCATCTGCTGATTCAGGGTTTTATTAGATATGCTAAGCTTCATCGACTTGGTGACCTCTTCCCTAGGGTTGGTCTGGCTAGTGGTCTTCTTGGTTGGCCTCAAAGTTAGGTTAGTTACTATTTTAGATAGCTCCTACTGAAGGAGGGTTTATTGAAGAAGCTACTTGAGCCTAGTTATCATTAGTCCGGTTTACTTAGATTTATTTGATAGACTTTCTTCGTTGATAGCATTTATAAGCTATTATTAACGAGAAGAACAGTACATTTACTGCAAGGACACAAACGACTATAAGCATAGTATGTGAATTAGAGTCGTCCCCGGACTGAGGTAGACCAGCGGAGGAACCCAAATTTTCAACTTTTGTGGTACTTTAATTAAACTCCTATTGGTAGGTCTAAGCAACCTGAAGGTGCCTAGCGAGTTCTTGATTAATATTGAGAAATTTGAATGAAGTTGTCATGGCTTTATGGATGGGTAGTTGGATTGAGTGTGCTTGGTTGATTAGTTAAGATTGATAAATTTAAATATAAATCTTATGAAAAATAAAACTTGTAAACTAAACTAGATTCTATACTTACTAAATTCTCTTATCATTTCCTAATTTTACTTCTTGGGGTTTTGGGGTTTTGGGGTTTTGGGG